ACCAATGGTGGGGCACTATTCATCCAAATTATACCAACAATGGAGCACTATTACTCCCAATGATACAACGATGGGGCACTATTCCTCCCACTAGTACAATGATGGAGCACTATTCCTCCCAATGTTACAATGGGGCACTATTCCTCCCACTAGTACAATGATGGGGCACTATTCCTCCCACTAGTACAATGATGGGGCACTATTCCTCCCAATGTTACGATGGGGCACTATTCCTCCCACTAGTACAATGATGGGGCACTATTCCTCCCACTAGTACAATGATGGGGCACTATTCCTCCCAATGATACAACGATAGGACACTATTCCTCCCAATGTTACAATGATGAGGCACTATTCCTCCTAATTATACCAATGGTGGGGCACTATTCATGCCAATGATACAATGATGGGGCACTATTCTTCCCACTAGTACAATGATGGGGCACTATTCCTCCCACTAGTACAATGATGGGGCACTATCAAAACTTAAGTGCCTGCTCCCCCCCAAAAAAATTCATGTATTTATACAAAACGCAGACTATGCATTCTTAAACACATCCTTAAAAAAAATGAATGAATCTGTCTTTATATTAGCTTCTTAAGATCCTCCACACTGACCATGAATCAAAAGACATATATGAGCCACCCAGGGCTAGAGCCAATGTTATCATCCTATGACCAGAAGCTTAAAGCAGAACTTCACCCAAAAGGGGAAATTCCACTTGTTTGCATCCTCCTCCATCCAGGTTTTGACAGGTACCCGCTCCCACTTCCGGTCAAATGCACTGCAGAGATCTGAGCTCGAAGTTCACCTCCCCTCCCCCTTCCCACTCAGCCTTCGGAGATACTTCACAGGTCCCAGAAGACTGTGGGAACATTCACAAAGCGCAGCGTGCTTCGTGCATGCGCAGTAGGAAACCGGCTGTGAAGGATTCACTGATGGCTTCCCTTACTGAAAGTGTTACTAAATCCATGACCCTGCACTCACTATATCCACTCTCCCCAGACCCTGCATTCACTATATCCGCTCTCCCCAGACCCGGCATTCACTATATCCGCTCTACCCGGACCCTGCATTCACCATATCCGCTCTCCTCAGACCCTGCATTCACTATATCCGGTCTCCCCAGACCCTGCATTCACTATATGCGCTCTCCCTGGACCCTGCACTCACTATATTCGCTCTCCCCAGACCCTGCATTCACTATATCCGCTCTCCCCGGACCCTGCATTCACTATATCCGCTCTCCCCGGACCCTGCACTCACTATATTCGCTCTCCCCAGACCCTGCATTCACTATATCCGCTCTCCCCGGACCCTGCATTCACTATATCCTCTCTCCCCGGACCCCGCATTCACTATATCCGCTCTCCCCAGACCCCGTATTCACTATATCCTCTCTCCCCAGACCCTGCATTCACTATAACCGCCCTCCCCGGACCCTGCATTCACTATATCCGGTCTCCCCGGACCCTGCATTCACTATATCCGGCTCTCCCCGGACCCTGCATTGACTATATCCGGTCTCTCTCTGAACCACGCATTCTCTATATCCACTCTGCCCAGACCCCGCATTCACTATATCCGCTCTCTCCAGACCTTGCATTCACTATATCCGCTCTTCCCGGATCCTGCATTCGCTATATCCAGTCTCCCCGGACCATGCAGTCACTATATCCGCTCTCCCAGACCCCGCATTTACTATATCCGCTCTCCCCGGACCCCGCATTCACTAAATCCGGTCTCCCCGGACCCCGCATTCACTATATCCGCTCTCCCCGGACCCTGCATTCACTATATCCGTTCTCCACGGACCCTGCATTCACTATATATCCGGTCTCCCCCGGACCCTGCATTCACTATATCCGCTCTCCCTGGACCCTGCATTCACTATATCCGGTCTCCCCGGACCCTGCATTCACTATATCCGGTCTCCTCGGGCCCTGCATTCACTATATCCGCTCTCCTCGGACCCTGCATTCACTATATCCTTTTTCCCCGGACCCGGCATTCACTATATCCGCTCTCCCCGGACCCCGCATTGACTATATCCGGTCTCTGCGAACCCCGCATTCTCTATATCCGCTCTGCCCGGACCCCGCATTCACTATATCCGCTCTCCCCGGACCCTGCATTCACTATATCCGCTCTTCCCGGACCCTGCATTCGCTATATCCGGTCTCCCCGGACCATGCAGTCACTATATCCGCTCTCCCCGGACCCCGCATTCACTATATACGTTCTCCCCGGACCCCACATTCACTAAATCCGGTCTCCCCGGACCACGCATTCACTATATCCGCTCTCCACGGACCGTGCATTCACTATATCCGTTCTCCACGGACCCTGCATTCACTATATCCGGTCTCCCTGGACCCTGCATTCACTATATCCGCTCTCCCTGGACCCTGCATTCACTATATCCGCTCTCCCCGGACCCCGCATTCACTATATCTTCTCTCCCCGGACCCTGCATTCACTATATCTGGTCTCCCACAGTACACACAACATGGAAATGCAATTATTTTACTAAATATAAACTGATAAATACCTTTTCTCCTCAGAAGTATATAGCAATCTTGTGACTTCTATCAGTGTCCAGCAGAGCACTGGTTAATCTTGTACAAGGAGTTTTAATTCTCCTCTGACTGTCTTATGAGGCTGCATAACTCCTGACCCTCTGTCTGGACAGTGCTGATTGGCCCAGTGCTGCTCACATTCACCCTCCCAAAGAAAAAGAAAAAACTCTCTAGCAATACACCCTAAACTGAGCATGTGTAGAGTGACTCCTAGAGCTCTGTACAATCAGCAGATGGATTGGGGACAGTAGAAGAAAGGGAAGGATCAGAGAAGACAGGATCAAACAGCCTTTTTACACAATGTGGAGTATTAACCACTTAGGTTCCACACTGAGTATAACAAGCATGCTTTTTTTATCTACCAACTGAATTTTACTGTTGTGGGTTTAGTAACACTTTAAAGGGGAAGTTCCGCTTTAAGCCTCTGTCCCCCACTCCCCGTGAAGGATTGGCACCATTGGGGAGCGGGTACCCGAATTTGACAGGTACCCGCTCCCACTTCCACTGAGATCACCTAGGCGATCAGAAGCAGAAGTCGTCCTCCCCCCCTCCCTTCCCATAGACATCTGGGACACGTGACAGGTCCCAGAAGACTACGGAGCCATTCACAAAGTGCAGCGCTACTCACGCATGCGCAGTGGGCACCCAGCTGTGAAGCCGCCAGCTGTCACAGCCGGGTGCCCATACTGAAGATGCCGGCGCCAGGGAGAGAAGACGGCCGGCGAGACCAGCAGTGGTGAGGACACCGCTGGACCGAGGGACAGGTAAGTGGCTGTATTTTAAAAGTCATTTATCAACCCCCCACCTCACCCCTTCGGTCTCTGCCCAAATCACACACCTACTGAGCGACATATCAGATTGGATGTCGCTCCACTTCCTTAAACTGAATCTCTCCAAAACCGAGCTCCTTGTCTTCCCCCCAGCCCGAACCCCACCCCCCATTGACTTCTACATCACATCCAACAACGCCAATATCAAACCGCGCTCTGCAGGCCAGAGTACTGGGTGTCATTCTGGACTCCAACCTATCCTTCCAGCCCCAAGTCCAATCTTTAACAACTCGTGCAGACTCCACCTCCGCAACATCACCAAAATCCGCACGTTCCTAACCCCAGAAACCACTAAACAGCTCATCCACTCCCTCATCATATCACGACTCGACTACTGCAACTCCCTCCTCACTGGCCTGCCTCGCCGCTGGCTATCCCCGCTTCAGTCGATCCTGAATACGGCTGCCAGACTCATTCACCTTTCCAACCGCTCCATTTCCGCCACCCCCCTCTGCCAATCCCTCCACTGGCTTCCGATTGCGCAACGGATCAAATTTAAAATCCTAACACTGACGTACAAAGCTGTCCACCATACTGCCCCGAACTACATCACTGACCTAATATCCAAGTACCGCCCAACACGCACACTCCGCTCCTCACAAGACCTCCTTCTCTCTAGTTCCCTGGTCTCCTCCTCCCATGCCCGCCTCCAGGACTTCTCCAGGGTGTCACCCATCCTCTGGAACTCCCTGCCCCAACCCATCAGATTATCACCTACTCTCCTCTCCTTTAGGCGCACCCTGAAAACCCATCTCTTCAGGGAAGCCTACCTCACCCCCTGCTAACTTGCTGACCTCCTCCACTCTTCCTACCACTCCATCCCCCACAGCTATCTCCTCCTGTACCACTATCCCATCCCTTCTAGATTGTAAGCTCGAAAGAGCAGGGCCCTCGATCCCCTCATGTTTTGCATTGTATTGGTATTGTTCTGTCACATGTTCTGTCCCCCTTTGTAATGTACAGCGCTGAGTGAACTATTGGCGCTTTATAAATACTGTATAATAATAATAATAAAAATAATAATCTTTGGTGAAGACACTTGGATCCCTGGACAGGTAAGTGTCCTTATATTAAAAGTCAGCAAAGTATTTGTAGCTGTTGACTTTTGATTTTTTTTGGAGGGAGCCTGGAGCTCCATTTTAATAACAGGATGAAATCATATAGGAAGCCTGTATTGAAGCTAGTTTGTATCTAAGGAAGTGTGCTGGAGCCCAATCCAAGTTGGTCTTCAAATAGCCAGCTGCTGCCACCAGAGACATCAATCAAAACCAAGCTTTCTGAAGCTTTACTAAAAAAGAAAGGTACTATATGACCATTTGCGATATAAGCAGCACTTTGAGACCTTTCGTTGTGGTTTCCCTTGATGTTCCTAAAGTCACAACAAAGCTGTAGAGTTTCTACAATGTTACCATTTTCCATTCTAAATATGAAACGATCTTCGGCTCTTCTGACTTCAGTGATCTTGACCAGAAGTTGAGTTTAGAAACATAACATGTTGTCAGGGTCACTCATCTGAAGTAGAGCACAGGTTGACTGCTCTTGCCAAATGCCAAAGCGGCTCCCATCTTGGGTGTGGTCTTTAATGCCCTATCAGAAATGATTTTGGTGAAAAACACCACCACCACCATTTGGACAAGAAATAGGCTTTTCACTAGTGTGTTTTATCTGGTGGTAGAGAAGGGAGGGCTTCCACGTAAAGCATTTCCCACACTCAGAGCAGGAATAAGGCTTCTCCCCCGTGTGAATCCTTTGATGCCTCACCAGGTTGGACCTCTTAGCAAAGGATTTCCCGCAGTCCGAACAAGCATAAGGCTTTTCTCCTGTGTGAATTTTCAGATGGGTGACCAGATAGGACTTGTCGTTAAAACGCTTCCCACACACGGGGCACGAATGTGGCTTTTCCCCCGTGTGTATTCTCTGGTGAGTCACAAGGTGGGACGTCTGTGTGAAACATTTGCCGCATTCAGTACACTCAAACTTCTTCGAACCCGTTTGGGTTCTCCGATGTAAATGAACCTTTTCCCTCTGAGGTAAATATTGGTTAAATTCGGAAATTGGGAACATTTCGCCCACTCTGCGAGCTGTATGGTGGGTGACGGGGGGTGGTTGATCGAAAAAGTACCTCTCATGTGTAGGAGGACATGATGATAGATCATTGCCGTGATATGCTGGATGAAGGATTGGGTTAAAGGGTTTCTCCAGTGGATAGTCCTCTGAGAGGTCATCATCATCTATTTCACTGTCCAGGCATATGATGGGGTGGTTCTCCAGGCCATTCCCATTACAATGTCCATCTTAAAAAGGAGAGAATATTTTATTTTCAGTGAGCACATATTATCAGTTTTTATGTCATTTGTTTTGACTTACAATTTTTTTACCTAAATTCTTGTTTTTACGCTTTCTTTCCTCCCCTTAACCACTTCCAGTCCAGACACTTTCACCCCCTTCCAGTCCAGGCCAATTTTCAGCTTTCAGCACTATCACACTTTGAATGACAATTGCACCGTCATGCAACACTGTACCCATATGAATTTTTTAGCATTTTTTGAGACAGATAAAGCTTTATTTTGGTGGTATTTATTCACCACTGGGATTTTTATTTTTTTGCTATTTAAATGAAAAAGTCCCAAAATTTTGAAAAAAAAGTGTTTTTCTTATAAAATTTTGCAAATAAATAATATTTCATCATAAATATTGGCCAAAATGTATTCCGATATCTTTTTAGTAAAAAAAAATATAACCCAAATTAGTTAATAACCAAAAATTATAATTTTTAAACATTTTTTTTTTACATTTTTATATTATTATGTTTTTTTTTTTTTTTTTTTACATACTGTCACCCTAGCAGTACAGTATCACCATGGGGACACTGTACTACTTGTGGGGGGTGAAGATTTTTTTTTTTTTTTTTTTTTACACAGATTGCTTTTACACCCATAAAGGCTGTAAAAGCAATCATTTCGCCTTCTCTCTGGCTGCATTCTTGCAGCCATTGAAAACTACTGTGTGAGCTGTGACTGGTCACAGCTTGTCACATGGTACAAGGCTGTTGTGTGTAGCCTTGTACCATGTGACCTCTGTGATCATTCCCAGATTTCACACGTAGTAAGCAATGATGTCAGAAGTGACATCTTTCTTACTACTCTGCATGTGATTACTGATTGGCAATGTCACGTCTCTATGCGAGGTCCCGTACGATGATTGGTGTTCCACTGTGTGCTCCCAGGGAGCGTGCACAAGCAGGGGGCGGAGAGGCCGTTTATATACAACGGCCGGACAGGGGGTGGTTAAATCCTTCCTTCCCAGAAAGAAAATCCTCTCCCCCTTTTTCATTTATGTACATGTTTTGTTTGCACATTTTGGAGAGCCTCCCACCCCTCCATCCTCCATTTTTGCATCAGGAAAACTATGTGTTGTGCTCTCGTTGCCTCATGGGCTTTGAACCTCACATCTCTCAAGAGGTATTGGCTTCCATTCATGGAAGGAGGAGGAGGGTGGGCCTGACAGAGCCTCATCATGGGGTGGCTGCCTGAACGTGGAAGAGACCGCCTCCTACCGATGACATCATGGAAGAAGATGGCAGCATGGGACTCAAGTGGTGGGAGCAGAGAAGCAGATCACAGCAGGACAACGCTAGATCTACTTATCAGGTAAGCATTTGGTTTCAGGAACACCAAACAATGTCTTTATGGAGCTGGCCCTGCACAAAAGGGCACAAACATGCTGGAGTGGAAAAGGGTCTTCCCCAATCTGTTACAACAAGATTCTCTAAATTGCCTTTGTATGCTGTAGCATTGACAGTACCCTTCACTGGAAACTCCAGACTCATTCATTTGGAGGGGATCCACATATGTTTGGCCATATAACATTAAAAAAAAAAAAAATTGAAAAAAGGTTCACTTTAACCACTTCAAGTCCGGACACTTTCACCCCTTTCCTGTCCATACCAATTTTCAGCTTTCAAAGCTATCACACTTTGAATGACAATTGCGCGGTCATGCAACACTGTACCCATATGAATTTTTTAGCATTTTTTTGAGACAGATAAAACTTTATTTTGGTGGTATTTATTCACCACTGGGATTTTAATTTTTTGCTATATAAATTAAGAAGTCCAAACATTGTGAAAAAAATTGTTTTTCTTATAACATTTTGCAAATAAATAATCTTTCTTCATAAATCTTGGCCAAAATGTATTCAGCTATCTTTTTAATAAAAAAAATCAAAATTAATTTATAACCAAAAATTATATTTATTAAATATTTTTTTATATTATTATTTATGGGTTTTTTTTAAACATACTGTCACCCGAGCAGTACAGTGTCACCATAGTGACACTGTACTACTTGTGGGGGGTGATGAAGATTTTTTTTTCTTTTTTTACACTGATTGCTTTTACACCCATAAAGGCTGTAAGTGGAATCATTTCTCCTTCTCTCTGGCTGCATTCTTGCAGCCATTGAGAAATACTGTGTGAGCTGTGATTGGTCACAGCTTGCCACATGGTACAAGGCTGTTGTGAATGGCCCTGTACCGTGTGATCTCTGTGATCATTCACAGAATTCACTAGTAGTAAGCAATGATGTAAGGTAGTGACATCTTGCTTACTACTATACATGTGATCACTGATTGGCCAATCAGTGATCACATGATCGGGACCTCACACAAAGGTCCTGTACAGCGATTGGTGTTCCGCTGTGTCCGGAGGGCACTGGATCGCGGTGCCATGCGCTCCCAGGGAGTGAGCACAGGCATGGAGCGGGGAGGACATTTATAAATGGCAACCCGCCCTTGCACTGCTCCCGTCCGGCCATTTATGGGCCGGACGGGAAGTGGTTAATGGGGCCTCACCAGTAACACATACTCATCTTTACTTCATTCCTCCATCTGCTTTGTTTGTCTGCTGTTTTTCTGCTGGAACCAAAGAACTCTTAGTGCCAAGAGGTCTCCCCGCTCCTTGGGACATCGCTGGGTGCCTGAGCAGCTGAATGCCAAAAGCATAAGAAGATCCCGAGTAGCAGAGACTGTTTTCCTGTAAGCTTTACTGACTTTCTTACCTTTGGTCACCTCTGCAGGAAGTTCCTCTTCCCTAAAAGACTCATCATCCCTCCTGTAACATTCATTGTATATATCTTCAACTTTGATGACAATTACATCATCATTCTCGTCGTCATCATCATCCTCATCATCCTAGAAGAAATATTATGGGTTCACAAAATGACTACAGGGGCTCTGCAAGTCATACAGTATACAATCACTTTATAAATAATCCCCAAGTGACTTACATAATAATCGGGGGGATTGCTGTAATCTTCATGTGTGGAGTTCCGGGAATACATAGGATGGGGACATCTCTCTGGTGGGTTCCCATTACTAGATCCATCTGTGGAAAACACACACACTGACTGAATGCATTGTTTCTATGTCTTTATATCAGAGGATGTGTGAATCTAGGTGGATCCTCAATACAAGAAATGAAAGTCTCCTCTTACCCGGTGATGTGAGGGGCGGCTGGTTTTCCATCATGACGTCCTTGTAGAGATCCTTGTGTTCTTCTATATACTCCCACTCCTCCATGGAGAAATAGACAGTGACATCCTGACACCTTATAGGAACCTGACACACACAATAATACAGTCACCATCCAGACACATCCCTTGTCTGTTACTGGAGAATGTCCCAGAATTCCCGGCACCGCTCACCTCTCCCGTCAGCAGCTCAATGATCTTCTGGGTGACTTCTAGGATCTTTTTGTTGTCTCTCTCTGGGGTCAGGGAGGGAGGTGGAGGCTCCATGATAAGGTTTGGGTGTTTTTGCCATCCCTCTAAATTATGGAGATGGCTGCTATTGAGTAGAGCTACTTGTTCACCAGATTTCTTCAAAGGTCCAAAATTCTAAAAAAGGAAATAACTACATAAATTCCCTCCTCACCTCTCCAGTCAGGTCTGTGTTTTATTAATAGAGATAGGAGTGATGTCATGTGACCTCCCAGAATCCTCCTCACCTCTCCGGTCAGGTCTGTGTTTTATTAATAGAGATAAGAGTGATGTCATGTGACCTCCCGGAAACCTCCGTCAGGTTTTTACTGCTGTCTGTGCCCACATTAGGGAGATCCCCCCTATCTATTTGTCCTGTTTACCATTATTATTGAAAATGAAAGTAAAAGAAAATCCCAAATTTGGGTTGTCCCCAGAAAGGTAATAGAGGGGAAATCTTCCACTGGAGAAACTAGTTAGAGATAAGAGTGATGTCATGTGACCTCCCAGAATCCTCCTTACCTCTCTAGTCAGGTCTGTGTTTTATTAATAGAGATAAAAGGGATGTCATGTGATCTCCCAGAATCCTCCTCACCTCTCCGGTCAGGTCTGCGTTTTAATAATAGAGATAGGAGTGATGTCATGTGACGTCCCAGAATCCTCACCTCTCCGGTCAGCAGGTAGATGATCTCCAGGGTGAGGTTTAATATCCTCTCAGTCATGTGACTCTGCTCCTTCTCCATCTTCAGTGATGAGACGTTTAATGGACTCTGCTCCTCCTGGGTGGGGCCAACCATGGTGACATCTCTGCAATTGGAAGGATACATTTCATAAAAACTCAGGAAAAGGCCAATGACGCATCACATGACCTTTCAAAATGAATAAACAGGATGCCTCCAAGCTGCCTCATCCTGCCCCACATTGAAGCCTTGCCCCTGCTGTGCTCCTGGGCTCATAACAACATCAATTGTATGTACTGAGAATAATAAATGCAGTTCCAGTCTCCATAACATGATATAACAAGCCAGAATAACACCCATAACAGTGATATGAATACACCCAGAAGCCCCTGTAGTGATAATACTGAACAGAATATGGTAACTGTCATACATTGTTAGCTGTAACCAGCCGCCTGTCTGCCCTCTATTATCATGATTCTCCCCCCAGCACCGGAAGCTCCCCTCTCACTTCCGCGCTGTGGCTCCAGCACTTCCGCAGTTTGCGTTCCACGGCCGGCCAGCGTCTTCA